CTACTAGAGCTAGATAATTTTTCTCCAGTGCTTCACTTATATCTTTTTAGAGCACGGTGGTGGTTTTATTTTATAGAAATTATTGATCTCTCATGCTTCACTTATATTATTTTGAGAGTCTTTTAGAACAGCATGGTAATTTGCTTTAGCTATAAAGTTAGTCCTAATATGATAGGCATCCAAGATGAGTATAATAAAAACTTCCATATAGAGTGCATTGAATACTATGATAAGTTTGATACCTGATGATTGTTTTGAGATATTAAGATGGTGATATTAGAGTCATGCTAGTTAAGTAATTCTGAAATTGAGAAATACTTGTGTTGAGGTCTGCAAGTCCCGTAGCATGCACGTATGGTAACCGTTGTGTGACAAATTTGAAGCATGATGTGTTCTTTGGTTGCCTTCCTTATGAGTGGCAGTGGGGGACGAGCGATGGTCTTTTTCTACCAATCTATCCCCCTAGGAGCATGCGCATAGTGCTTGGTTTTGATGATTTGTAGATTTTTGCAATAAGTATGTGAATTCTTTATGACTAATGTTTGAGTCCATGGATTATACGCACTCTCACCCTTCCATCATTGCTAGCCTCTTCGGTACCGTGCATTGCCCTTTCTCACCTCGAGAGTTGGTGCAAACTATGCCGGTGCATCCAAACCCCGTGATATGATACGCTCTTTCACACATAAACCTCCTTATATCTTCCTCAAAACAGCCACCATACCTACCTATTATGGCATTTCCATAGACATTCTGAGATATATTGCCATGCAACTTTCCACTATTCCGTTTTTTATGACACGCTCCATCAATGTCATATTGCCTTGCATGATCATGTAGTTGACATTGTATTTATGGCAAAGCCACCGCTCATAATTTTTATACATGTCACTCTTGAATCACTGCACATCCCGGTACACCGCCGGAGGCATTCATATAGAGTCATATTTGTTCTAGTATCGAGTTGTAATTTTTGAGTTGTAAATAAATATAAGTGTGATGATCATCATTATTAGAGCATTGTCTTGTGAGGAAATAAAAAAAAGAGAAAGGCCAAATAAAAAAAGAGAAGGCCCAAAAAAAGAAAAAAAAAGAGAAGGGGCAATGTTACTATCATTTTTCCACACTTGTGCTTCAAAGAAGCACCATGATCTTCATGATAGAGAGTCTCTTATTTTGTCACTTTTATATACTAGTGAGAATTTTCATTATAGAACTTGGCTTGTATATTCCAACAATGGGCTTCCTCAAAATGCCCTAGGTCTTCGTGAGCAAGCAAGTTGGATGCACACCCACTTAGTTTCTTTTGTTGAGCTTTCGTACATTTATAGCTCTAGTGCATCTGTTGCATGGCAATCCCTACTCCTCACATTGACATCAATTGATGGGCATCTCCATAGCCATTGATTAGCCGCGTCAATGTGAGACTTTCTCCTTTTTTGTCTTCTCCACACAACCTCCATCATCATATTCTATTCCACCCATAGTGCTATGTCCATGGCTCGTGCTCTTGTATTGCGTGAAAGTTGAAAAAGTCTGAGAATACTAAAGATGAAACAATTGCTTGGCTTGTCATCGGGGTTGTGCATGATGGAAGAATTTTGTGTGACGAAAATGAAGCATGGCCAAACTATATGATTTTGTAGGGATGAGCTTTCTTTGGCTATGTTATTTTGAGAAGACATAATTGCTTGGTTAGTATGCTTGAAGTATTATTGTTTTTATGTCAATATTAAACTTTTGTCTTGAATCTTTCGGATCTGAATATTCATGCCACAATAAAGAAAATTACATTGAGAATTATGTTAGGTAGCATTCCACATCAAAAAATTCTGTTTTTATCATTTACCTACTCAAGGACGAGCATGAATTAAGCTTGGGGATGCTTGATACGTCTCCAATGTATCTATAATTTTTAATTGTTCCATGCTATTATATTATCTGTTTTGGATATTTAATGGGCTTTAATATGCACTTTTATATTATTTTTGGAACTAACCTATTAACCAAAGGCCCAGTGCAAATTGCTGTTTTTTTGCCTATTTCAGTGTTTCGCAGAAAAGGAATATCAAATGGAATCCAAACAGAACGAAACCTTCGCGAGGATCTTTCTTGGAACAAACGCAACCCAGGAGACTTAGAGTACAAGTCTGGAAGTCCGCGAAGCTTCCACGAGGCAGGGGCGCGCCCAGGGGGTGTAGGCGCGCCCCACCCTCGTGGGCCTCACGGAGCTCCACCGACGTACTTCTTTCGCCTATATATACCCATGTACCCTAAAAACATCCAGGAGAGCCACGAAACCACTTTTCCACCGCTGTAACCTTCTGTCCCCGTGAGATCTCATCTTGAGGACTTTTCCGGCGATATGTCGGAGGGGGATTTGATCACGGAGGGCTTCTACATCAACATCATAGCCTCTTCGATGATGTGTGAGTAGTTTACCACAGACCTTCGGGTCCATAGTTATTAGCTAGATGGCTTCTTCTCTCTCTTTGGTTCTCAATACAAAGTTCTCCTCGATGTTCTTGGAGATCTATTCGATGTAATACTCTTTTGCGGTGTGTTCTCCGAGATCATATGAATTGTGGGCTTATGAATTTGATTATCTATGAATATTATTTGGTTCTTATCTGAATTCTTATATGCATGATTTGATATCTTTGCAAGTCTCTTCGAATTATCGGTTTAGTTTGGCCTACTAGATTGATCTTTCTTGCAATTGGAGAAGTGCTTAGTTTTGGGTTCAATCTTGCGGTGTCCTTTCTCAGTGACAGTAGGGGCAGCAAGGCACGTATTGTATTGTTGCCATCGTGGATAAAAAATGGGGTTTATATCATATTGCTTGAGTTTATCCCTCTACATCATGTCATCTTGCCTAATGCGTTACTCCGTTCTTATGAACTTAATACTCTAGATGCGTGCTGGATAGCGGTCGATGTGTGGAGTAATAGTAGTAGATGCAGAATCGTTTCGGTCTACTTGACATGGACGTGATGTCATATTCATGATCATTGCCTTAGATATCATCATAACTATGCACTTTTCTATCAATTGCTCGGAAGTAATTTATTCACCCACTGTAATATATGCTATCATGAGATAAGCCACTAGTGAAACCTATGGCCCCCGGGTCTACTTTACATCATATAAGTTTCCGATCTATAGTTCTAGTTTACTATTTATTTTGCAATCTTTATTTTCCAATCTATACAACAAAAATACCAAAATATTTAATCTTTATCAGATCTCACTTTCGTAAGTGACTGTGAAGGGATTGACAACCCCTTTATCGCGTTGGTTGCGAGGTTCTTGATGTTTGTGCAGGTACTAGGTGACTTGCGTGTAGTCTCCTACTGGATTGATATATTGGTTCTCAAAAACTGAGGGAAATACTTACGCTACTTTGCTGCATCACCCTTTCCTCTTCAAAGGAAAACCAAGGCATGCTCAAGAGGTAGCAAGCCGCCGCATTGCGGTCAATTTGATGTCGCATCAGGGTGCCGCCGCACCTCCGCAGGCGAGGTCGCCTCTGCTTAGAGTGCCCGCCGCCGCGCCGCTGGGTCCCGCGGCACCCCAGCACCCTCCACTCGCAGAGCCGTCCAACACCGGTCGAGAGACAAGTGGAGAGGGAGCAGGTCACGCCGCCACCCACGCCGGCCGGGCTTTGCCCGGCGGCGCCTCACGGTGGCGGCGGGGGAGGGGAGAAGGGAGGCGGCGGCTAGGGTTGCCCCCAGTCGCTCGCGGGAGCGACCCGGGAGGAAGGGAAGGGGGGTTGGTTCTCAATTTGGGGTTTTCGTTCAGAACCAGCCTTATTACACGAGATTTCTTTTATGAAGGCTATTGCTGACATGGAGCTGGTATACAGCCAGTAGTTGGGACTTCTATTAGCCATGCTCTTAGCTCGTTTTCCTATATAGTGTAGTTAATGCATTGATCTGATGTGCTAGTCTCTATTTTTTATTCTTTTCCTTCTCTCTGCAACTAGAGAACATGTTTGAGATGCAAATATGATCCCTAAACCAACTAAATGTAATATGATAAAGGTGATACAGCTCTCGGATATCCCTACACCCTTTATGAACAGTAAATTCGAAAAAAATCTGAAACTTTGTGACATCAAATATGTTCAAACGTTTCAGGTGCTTGGAAATTTTAACAACGAAATATCATATAGAGAAAGGTGTACACATGAGAAACAGATATTTGTGCTTAAAGTGCTCAAAGTTTTGAGCACTAGTCGTTTTCTGGTGTAGAGCTCCTTGAATGTTTTTTCTGCACGAAAACTTGCAAGTACCTATAAAGTTTGAACATATTTGATGTCGCAAAGTTTCAGATTTTTTTTATTTTCTGTATTTTTTGAATTTACTCTAATAAAGAGTGTAGGGACGAACCTTGGAGTTAAAAAACCACTATATGATTGATTACGTGTGGTGGTTGTCTCCAAAAACTTTCCACTATATATGATTGATTTATGTGTTAAGAGACAATGCATTGGATGTGCCTTTATAGTTTAGACATGCATTGATCCATGTTCTTAGTCAACCTAATTAGAGTACTTAATTTCCCGCAAAATAATAATAATTAGAGTGCTTAATTGGACTTTTGTATGAAGGGTGGGTGTATTGAAAGTTGTTTTCTGTGAAAAAGTTGGACTTTCAGTTTGGACAAGTGGTTAAAAGCTCGCGCAACCAGGCAGCTTAAGCTTTCATCCGTTTAAAATAATGTGCAAAGTCCCCAGCAAAAGGAAAATATAGAAAGTAGGCTGCCTACTAGATCACCAACCGTACCCCCTAGCAGCCTAGCTAGTACTCTTCCCAACCATCTGCAACAAGTTTGAACCAACTCAACCATCCTGCCTGACACCGCATGCAGCGCTCTCGTCATACTAAATCCTAACATGTTGGCGCGTGAACGACGCACGTGTGCAGCTATATAGCCCCTGCACCGCACCTGTCCGATCTCAAGTAGCCACAAGTGATCGGAGGCGCGTAGCTTGCGCAATGTCGTTAGCCATGGAAGTCGAGGCCATCGGCCAAGAAACCATCGGCGCAATCACGATGATCGAGGACGGCGACGATGACGAGGTGCTGACTAGCGACGACGGGGGCAGCTACAGTCACGGAGAGATGATGGTCACCGACGACGACGAGGAGCTGTTCGAGCTCGACATCACCTTCCTCCGCGGCGACAACGAGCACGGCCAAGACCGACACGATACGCACGGCGCTGGTGATGGCGCCCATGCCCTGATGGCCAACTGCCTGCTGCCAGTGAGCTCGGTCAGCATGGCGGTGCCGGTCACGGACAGCAACACCGTCTCATCCTACTATGCCTTCTCCACGTACAGCAGCTCGAGGAAGTCCGGCATCAGCGGCGGTGGCAAGAGGAGGCTTGGGCGAGCAGCTGCTGACGGCCGCAATTCCACTTGGGCGAGGTTTCGCCTCTCGAGCAGGGGATTCGCAACCATGGGGAATTTTCAGAGATAGCAGCTCCGTGTATGCGCGAAGGAAAGGTCAGATGTAAATGTGAAATAGCACAGACCATGTGAAGAAATAGAACCTCAGAGTATGCGCGAAGGAAAGGTCAGATGTAAATGTGAAATAGCACAGACCATGTGAAGAAATAGAACCTCGGATGTAAAAGTCAGATGTAACTGTTGTGTTCAGATTTCAGAAACGTGATTGTAAAACAAAGGGCACCATTAGTGTTGGGACAATCCCCGGACCAGCTCGCCGCTCATCTCCTCTCTCACTCGCTTAGACAAAGGTGAAAGGAGAAATATACTGGACACAAGTTTTTCCGGCGCACAAACACCTCACCGCACGAACGGCCTAATCTTTACTAGGCACAAACTGACCTTGGCACATACCGACGTGGTGGCACAAACCACCGCTGAGAACGCACGCGCACACACACGACTACATCACTAACCACTTGTCGACGTCGCGGCCCTCAGCTCTGCTTAAATAGCCTGACCCACGCACCCAGGGCCAGCGGTCACACACCGCACTAACTCACGCACGACGCATACCGGCCGCTAACCAGCTAACTACATGTACGCCCACGCACACGCACGCACGTCTCTATGCAAGCAACGCACCGGCCAAGCAACACAGCTACTTGTTTCGGTTTGCGCTCAACTAGACTTAACCACACACAGCGTCGGCTAACTAACTAATCTAATCTAGCTAATAACCTTACTTGTCAAGATTACTACTAACAATTGGAACCAGGACCAGACACGGAAACTAGAAACTTGTGGGCAGCTCATGAAGGGAGGGCTTTTCTTGAAGAGGTGAAGATGAACCCTTAACTAGATGATGAAGTTCATGTGATCACATTCCTTCTGCAATGCTAGGGTTGGTGAATTTAGTTGTTTTGTAATAACCCTGAGATGTTTTCAATTATTACTTTCCGGAATTTAGAGCATCTAGCCGGATCTCTTAAACATGTCTCATACGTCCGGACAGGCTGCCTGGTCACTCACCGGTCACATTTTTTCCACTCGGAGGGACGCCTCAAAAGGGCCTCAAACGCCCGGGCTGACCTGCACCCCCATATCCAGCCCAAATAGGCGGAGGATATAGGGGCGCCCGGGCACGCATGCCACGTCGGACCTGGCCCATGCTGGCCCACCCTACCCCACTTATATTCGTCCCCATCCTCTCGCCGGAGCAAACCCTAGCCACTTCATTCCACTCCCCTCCACTCCCCTCCGTCACCCGAGCTCACCTCCGGTGGTTTTCGTCCTTCTCCGCCATGGCAGACAGTGGATCAGACTCTGACCAGTCTGGATCCGTCGATTGGGGTGTCATCCCGTGTGGGTTGGAGGAGGCAATGGTAGTTCGCATTGCACTATGCCGCTCCCGGGAGGACAGCGCCCGAACGACGGACGGGTCCGTCTGCCACAACGCCATAGCTCGGCTCATTGGGCGCTCGGGGTTCTCTGGTGCTGGATCCTCGCGGTCCCAGCCGGAACACATGTCCTTCCCTATCACCGGTCGGGCAGAGTATGAGTCCCACCGGGAACGGGTGGTCCGCCGTGGGAAGGAGAGGATAAGGGCCGCCGAGGCTCGTATCGCGGCGAAAATGGCGGCGACGAAGGAGGCTGATGCGACGGTGCGGGCGGCCGCAGAGGAGGAAGCCATTCGTGCCCTCATCCGAGAGCTAAATCGGGCGGTCCGTGCCATGGCCGGACAGCCACCGAAGGAGGAGAAGGAGGGCAACGACGACGAGGACACCTCTGGCGACGAGCAGATCCGGCTCGATCTGTACTGCGTCTTCGGCCGATACTTCCGCGAGAAGGACGACAAGGGCACCGGGAAGGGCAAGGCAGCCATGGATGAACTCCACCATAGCTAAACTTGCCAAATTTTGGTAGTCCGATGGCATGTTTAGTGTAGCGTGATGAAGTAGCCGGACGATGTGTAACATCCAAATTTTCAATTTGGATGTTATACATAGGTCATCATATGCATCTCATATTTTACTTGCATTTTTTGTTGTGATGCTAGAAATCTTAAGCAACTCAAGGACCCAAGGAGAGACTTGGAGATTTCATAAATTTTCATATTTGAATTTTTCTCAAATTTGAAAAGAGGATCATTTTAATTTTAATAATTTCCTCTCCAATTATTTCCAATATTTAATTTTAAAAAGAGAAGATAATATGACTTCTTAAAAAGGAGAGGAATATTGGAGAAAAATATGAAAATCAAATTATATTTTATTTGCTATTTTATTTGAATTAGAAAAATATGTATTTTTGAAAATTGCATTTTTAGGCTAGAAAAATGTTCATTTTGTTCTAAATATTAGATTGAGACGGTGAAAATTATTTTTCGCATTTTTTAGAAATTTTTTTATATTTTATTAGGATTTTCTTCAGGCGATATTTTATTTAAAAAAAACTTCGCCCGACTGGGCCGAAGACCCAGCCGGCTCACGCGTGCCACCGCCTTCCCGAGCCGTGGCCGAGGCGGACTCACCGGAGTCCGGCGCCGCCACACCGCCCGCGTCGCACCCTGCCCAAGTCGGAGCCCCCCCGACCCCTTTATATGTCGCACCGCCCCGCCGCCACCTCTCCACCCCGCCGCCGCAGCCCGCCTCCACCACAACCGAGCCGCACCGCCGCCGCAGCTTGCGCCCGCGTCGCCCGCCGCCTGATAGAGGCGAGGGTGTCCCGATCTTTCGATGAGATGATAACTATCGATTTGGTGGAGACGACTTTGACGATCTGACTACAAACGTGCACGACGTTGCGCCTTAGCAATCGCTAAACCAACTCCGAGAGGTTATTGACCACGCCGGAGCACAATCAACCTGACCACGAAGGTCTATTCCTACACGCAATCGAAAAACGAGCAAGAATATGATAGAAGCAATCTGAATATTGCGAATATATATGAAGTATTTATAATGGTGGGGATCCGTAAGCGGTCTTGGTCTGGTCGTTGGACACAAACGAAGTACACAAAGTTGCAATGAGTAACTTTTAACTAAACAAATTCCAAAGAAAAAGCTACTAGATGGATCTACTTATATAGGAGCAAGGGGTGGCGGCCAAAGAGGTGGGAGGACGTCCCAAGGCAGCCTAAAACTAACCCTAGGTCGTACAAGGCCCATGGGCCCAAGTGGAGGTGATGCAACACCTTTGGACTTGTTGTTTGACTCCGATTCTGCTGCAGCGTCAGATTGTTTCGTTGATATCTCAACGCTCCGGCCGAATTTGAAGGTGAATCCAATTGCTTTGGAAAGAGCACGAAATATACTTTCCAACAAAAAAAGAATCACCCAATTCGGAGTCCGTATGAAAAAGTTGTTGGCGTTTTGAGTCAGGTATCTCTGTGCAGTCCGAATCTGAATCCAGAACGTGAGAGACTTGGACTCTATCTTCTCTTGGCCCAAAAGTGACATGAGAGAACTTTTTGAACAGAACCTAAACTTCTCATTTTTCCTTATCTTCATATGGGGATTGTACAAATGTCCCATACACCTGCAATTAGACAAAACACAAAAGTGTATGAAGTATTTTTGTTCTGGATAACATAAATAGATTATTGAATAGTTTGCACTAGAAATCACCTGACAAATATGCATGTATGCAATATTTTTGGTCGTATCCGAGGTAGTTATGTCCTCATCACCGCCCCGCCTTGCCAGAGTCCTGCAGCCGCCTGCCGGATCTCGCTGTCGGTCAACCCCGGCTAAACGGTATAAACCGTTCGGTTTTTTAGGTTTACGATTTTTTCCGGTTTTCGATTTAGGCCGGTTAGATCGGTTCTTTTCGAGTTCGCTAATTAGCGAACGTTCGTCCGAACGTTTCTGTTAGTGAACGTATTCGTTCATTTGTCCCTGATAACGAACGTTCGTTCCGTAGTTTTTTCTTTTTATTTTATTTTCGACCAGGGACCTATTCAAGATTATTTTTATCGTAGATTAGCCCCTGATTTTCAAACCTCCGCAACTTTTTGCTCGCTCATCCAAATCCAGTGAAACCAACGCCAAATTCTTTATCTCGGACCCCTCTTTCCAATTAACCAACTTGAACATGGTTTTGACAATATAAAATTTGGTTGCAAGCAGATTTGATTTTGAACTTCTTTTGATCGTAGTTTGTGTTTCGTAGCTCCGATTCATTTGATTCTTTTTGCAAATCGAAGCTCTTCACTTGTACTTTTAGTTTGGATCTTTTCATTCGAGTTTTATCCTCGCATATATTTCTTGAGTGCTTATGAATGTTATTGTTTGTTTACGATAGAGTTTCCGGAGTGCGAACCGTGCTACTACGAGTCACTAGGGTTTTTAGATCATCAGCAAGGCAAGTAACACTTTGAACATATCCCTTATTACCTAGTTTTTATGCATTAGTCTCAACCATCAAATATTGCATGAGTAGGATCTGCTTAAACATGTGGGTATTGGGAAGTAGTTGTTGATGTAGTACCTATTGCCCTTTTGTACAAACCTTGGGAGTTACTACGTTACACTTATTATACTTTGCTATGCTATGCTCGTAGACGTGGTTTGGTTTGAGTGATTCATGACAGTTGTGAGTATCATTATGAACTAAGGGTTTACTTAAGGTTACTACTTTAACACACATCTGGGTGGATTGGTTTGTGGGCACCTGGGGAAATCCAGTGTTGTCCAAAGGAGAATCCCGGGACATCCGTGTGATTTTTCCTATTGTTCGCCAGCCAGGCTCAAAGGGATCATTATGTTATTCATGCTGGAAACTTCCTTTTGCAGCCACAAGCCATTATGGGCTCTGGCATATTTGAGTAAGTTGTGGGAATCCTTTCCATGATGGGCTAGCAGATGTAGGGGATTGTAGGTGTACCGGCCTATCTATCGGTTAAGGGGACCTCTTCGGAAAGACTGTGTCTCAATCATCCATTTCACAAACACCATGCAGTGTGAGAAACACAATGGAGGAGATCGAGTCTTGTGGGGAAAAGTGCGCAAACCTCTGCAGAGTGTATAA